CCTCTCTTATCGAAGCAAAATATATATATATAATTTAAATTATCAAATAATCTCTATCAATATACACACAATTTTAGCGAGTTTGAAGAAGTATTAAGGAAGGAAACTTTGAAAATAACTGACTATCAAAAAGTAAATACTAAAAACATATTGCAAACCGTTCAGGAAAATTCAATGTAAGTCAAATGTTTAAAAAAATAGGTATTGACTTATTCTATATTTTTTCGATATAATAATTTTTGTTTTTAGAGTATAAATAACAGATAAAAATACTTTCTATTTAGGAATAGTTGGTATCCCGAGAAAAGTTCAGAAATGGATGCTGACGAAGAACTCGAAGAAGATTCACCGAGAATCGAATCGCCGATAATTACTGACGATGACCCACGTTCCGCCACATTATTAAAAAGCTTAGCATTAAAATGCGATTGTCATACTAGTCGATGTACTGAAACTGAATCTTGGAGTTCTTCCGAAACGAATAGATGGAAAAAGTAATATATATATATTTATTTTGTAAAATGTGTGGAAAACTCTTCCAGCAAATATATTTACAGCAAAAATTTATATGCAGGAATAAATCAATAAAACATCGTAAATTCATCGATATGGATTCTGAAGATTTGGATTTAATGTCGGATTATAATGCCATTAATTATAAAAATGTTCACTCGAACGGAAAGAATAATCGAATGTCAAATTTTGCTGGTCATGTTATGAAATCATCTTCAGCTAAACCCGCAAAAATTCAAACTTATCAGACAACTAGTTTTTCCTTTTTTAATGTGTTTTTTGATATCGTTTTCTGGCCTTTTGTTTTCCTCCGCGCAAAACAATAACATTATTATATAATATTGTGGAAATCTGTTATTAAGTGACTTATCAATGCATAAAAATTCACGATAAAAGATATTTTTTATAAAAATAAACAACAAACTGTCTTTAAAATGAATCATAAAAAAAAATATATATATATTTGTGTAAATTTTTAAGTATTTGCAAAATTTGTATATAAATCATTAATTTATCGTTCATAAAATAAAATTTAAAATAAATTATGTTTTTTCAAGAGAGAAAATATGATAAAAATTTATATAATAATTCATACAGACAAGTCATATAATAATTGATTATTGCAAAATTCAATTATTTTACTCACTTTGTATAACAGTCATATATCATCCTGCAACAACAGCTAAACAGTATGAGGAACAACACAGCAGCATCTGAAAATATTTATACGATTATTCTTTGTCATATATTATTTTCAAACTATTTTTTTACAAAATAGAAATTAAATTCTTTAATTTTATTCTGAATCATTTACTAAGAAAATATATACCTTATGCAATATACCTCGTTAATATATGCATATCATTTTTTGTTTCGGGTCACACACAAATAATTACAGAATTACGACATTTATATCTAGTGATAATCTTACACTCATTACATTTTCGTTGCATTTTGCAAAAAAGATAACTTGAAATATGTAAAGGCAACTTTTTTTGATCGATTCGAGAACTACGGATATCGTCGATGCCGAGAAATGGCAAGAATTGTATAATATTAATTATATACACGGAATTTAACATGTTACCCCAAACATACGACACTTTACATGAGACTTACAATCATTTCTCGCACCAGAGATTCTATTATGACAACAATTCTTCTTTCTTTGTGACAAAAATTGCGAAAAACACTCGGATCGAAACGTTCGGATGCGACTGCACGATCCACCGACGCGTTCTATGACTGCGGTTCGAAATATATCGAAAATATTGCGATTCTCGAAGTATCGAATCAGTCAATATGGCGAACCAAAGCGCGGTATTCAGGTCGCTGCGCCTCTCGCGGCGAGAGGCGAGAGTCTCGCCTCCTCTCTCTCTCTTTCTCTCTCTCTCTTACTCTCTTCACCTTCATTACAATCATAACATGGACGTGGACACGGCGAGTGACAATACGTCTATCGACGACAAGATAGACGACTTTTGCGAGAATCCCACGCGAGATGCGTTAACGGAGGGTCTTATGAGTCTTTTGAAACCTACGGTGGATCAGCTGGACGATAGAATTCGCGCCACAAGGTGATGTCATTTTTCGTTACTATTCGATCCAGCGCCCATACAATAATAACATTTATTTTCTTTTTCGCGTTTCTTTTTGCAAAATTTATGACTTTATTATTCTCACATTTCTTTCACGACACGTGATATTTAATTGCAAAATACATGTTTGTTCATTAAATCGTGACGTTAAAAAATGGTGGTTTATTTATACGCATACAAAATATACTTTATTGTTATCTACTTTTTACAAGAATTCCCGAGTATTTTAAAATTCAAGTTTAATTTCCGTGTACAATTATTGGAATGTTGTAAAATGATATGTTTGTGCATTTATAATCTATATCGAGTTGTTGCATACAAAAATTACAGAGTTTATTATTTTTACACATAAGTATTCTTTTTCTTATAGGATATGTCAAATAGAGTTGAAGCAGCGGATTGAATCCTTAACAGAGGAACTTCAGAGAATTAACGAAGCATTACAATATCCGATGGAAACAGATTCTTATGTAAAGAAACTTATCAACGCTAAGCATAAAATTACCATTGTTAGCAATATCTTGCAAACCACTCAAGAGCGATTAAACAAAGTGCATCAAGCTGTTGAAAAGAGCACTGCTAAGAGAAAGACACTCTTGGATAATAGTTCTGCATATAGTAGTACTACTGTTGACCCGGATAAAGAAGAATCAACCAAAGCGGAAGCTGATAAACAACAATAATTTTCAATGTAATTAACTATATTATTAATAGTTTATTTTCAAATTATTACTTAACATTAACTATTTTGCAAATTTTATAAAAATACTTCTTATGATTTTTATCATACATAATGGAAACTCCAGTAGTTAATCTATCAGATGAAGAACTCAAGACAGTTTATGATCCTTCCGAAGATTCGTATCTTTTAATAGATGCTTTGGAAGCAGATTTAGAGATTCTGCATGCGATGAAACCTGTGATTTGTTTAGAGATAGGTAGTGGTTCTGGTATAGTTATCACAGGTCTAGCAATGGCATTGAAAAGATATAATGCTCATTGTATTGCAATTGATATAAATCCTGATGCATGTAGGGCCACCAAAAGAACTAGTCTGGTTAATTCTGTTGATATAGATGTTCTTCACATGAATTTGTTAGATTGCATACAGATTAGATATACATTTGATGTTATTTTATTTAATCCACCGTATGTAGTTACAGAATATGAAGAAGTGCTAGACAATAGACTTATATTTAAGACTTGGGCAGGTGGCAAAAATGGTAGGCAAGTTATGGAACAGATATTTACTACGATTCCCAAAATCTTATCAGACTCAGGCTTGTTTTATTTGGTCGTTATTAAAGAAAATGATCCTGAATATATACTGAGTGTTTTCCAAAAATTAGGTATGTCTGGTAAAATCATTCGTGAGAGGAAAGTAAGAGGAGAGTACTTATATATTTTACGTTTTTGTAAAGTTAGGTCAGATGAAATAAGTTAACATTACATTAGAGATATTAGACATCTATAGATATTAGGGATGTAATATCTTTTATACTTTTAATATTGTACAAAGAATAGGATATATTATTTCATTGATTTTATGCGTTCATGTACTCAATTAATTTCTGTAGTGATGAATTATGCTGAAGATAGAACAACACTGCATTTACTTGAATCATGTACATATTTGTTGTACGCGTAAAACGTTATTTAGATTATAAAATATTATGTACCATAAAAAATTACAATTAATATAATATTATATTATATTCCCTAGAAATATAATATAATTCCTTATCCATATATTTTTATTCCATCTTTAGGAATTAAGAAATAACGATCGTGTACTTTCGTAAAAGAGGATAATGATAACGAGACAGCTTTTTTTTACAAATATCATAATTTATTTAAAATCCTTAAGATCTACATTGTCATCGAAGTATGCAATAAATACCATATCGTATCGGTATTCAATGTTACGCAAAATGAGCACTACCGTTATCCGAGGATTACACGAGTAGTTTGTTAGATTATATTCGTAAACTGATATGTAAAATATGGCTGCACACCCCTGTCGAGTAAAATAAATTTATCATGTTCTGGTAAAAAAATTAATTGTATCAAAATTAATTTACGGAATTAATATACGGAAACAACGAATTAAAAAAAAAAAAAATTGTCTCAATTTGTCATAATTGTAATAACAATTGTTCCAGACATTTCGGTGTATACTTTTTTCTTCGGCGTTTCTCTATCAATTCCTTGGCAGGAAAAATGATTACGAAGCGATGAAGGGTAATGTTCGCTTAAGCATTATTTGATTACTGGCACGCGTTTATCGTTTGCTACGCAACTCCTTTCCTAATGTTACGATAGTAACTATCGAGGTGTTGTAAATAATATCCTCCTACGAATCCACAAATTTTGTTCTACGAATCCGTTGCAATTTAATATAAAACACAGCCGCGCTTATGATCGCGACGGAGAGCGTGCTCAACATAAGAGAGAAAGTCGTGTAAAAGCCACCGTTGCTCATGCAAACATCTTTCTCCTTTATCATCGTCTCGACGGCCGTTTCCTCCATGCTCTCCAAGACCTGGCTGGACGCTGTGCTTAAGTCGTCTAGCATGATCACTTTGAAACGACGTCCGACACGAACCGGGTCCGATAGCAAAACCGGGTTCGTGGAAGTGTTTGTAGATGTGTACATTACCGATCGACGACGTCTACCTGGTTCGATTTGCTAAAACAAATTAATTTATATATATAATACGAACTATATAAAAAATGGAAAGAAATTTAAAAAATGTAGAATAATAATGTGAAATTTTTAGAATTATATGTCATCAATATTTTTGGTTTTAGAATACATATTTTAATGTTAACGGATAATATAGATAGATAATAGAAAATTATTATTTGACTTTTGTGTGCGTCTTACTTGATCGCCTTCTGGACAGGGCTCGCAATCCGTTTTACATAGCTCGACATTGCACTCGATGAATAGGTCCATAACGTCAGGGAATTTAAAAGCTTGGAAGAACGCGTAAGCAATGATAGAAGCGCCTGTACTTCCGGTATCGTTTGTCTTCTGGAAGGCACCGAATAGCTTCGGCTTCAAGATGCAGCCTCTTTCGTCGGTGAGCTGCAGCATGTTGGTCGAGGCCTCATCTCGCGCCACACAATCGCGCACCTTGAAAAAATAATTATATCTAATTAAACATCGTTGGTTTTTAATCCATATTTTTTATTTGTGATTGAAAATAAATTTGTCTTAAAACTTTGTTATTTAAAAAATAATCATAGAACGTCGAGAAGTAATCCATAATTATTTTTTGTGTATTATTATATTCATCTTTATTACTTTGTTATAAATTGGTGCGTACCTGAAGATCGAAGCCAGGATCGCCTTCCACGGAGACGACTAAGGTCATTGTCTCTCCGATCTTTACTAGTCCATCGGCTGCAGGTGCGAAAGGTCCTCTACCGATTTGAATATCCAGTTTGGCTGTAGCCGTATCGCCACTAAAGGTAACGATCTCCTGGTTCAACATGTCCACTGAGAAGTTTACTGTTAGGGCTTTGTTAATGTTTCCTTCCCAGAGGCATCGTACTCTTCGCACTGTATCCCAGACTTCTTGTATACCCGGTTCGTTCTGAAGCGATAGATATGTTTTATATCGAGGTGATTTTTTGTTTCTTTCTAAAGTAAATCGAGGACTTGAGAAAATAATAAATTTTGTTGGCTCGATCCCGTTTTACCTGCAATACAAGAACGTTCTCCAAGTAAGCTTGACCGGCTTCACCCTCGAAGTCATTGATGAATTGAGTTCCGCACGAGTCTAAACTCACGGTAAAGGAATATTTCGTTTGGCCCGAGTTCTGTTCCACATACCTGCATTCCGGGTTCATATAGAATCCCTGAAATTCGAGACAGAGTCGATAGATTATTACCAATGAGTTTTGGTACAAGAGATTCTCGGTTGTCCGATGTTTACCTTAGAATAAATAAGGCCGTCGAAAGCGCGATTGAATTCGATATTGATCGTCATCATGGTTTTACTGCACTCGACATCGAGACTATGAATATGCGGGGGATGATTGAGATCGTCATCCGCGGCGACTTGACGATAAAATCAAATTGTATTCTCTCACATCACTATATTATACATATTATAACTCCAATAGAAAGGAGAACATACCTCCAGTAGTTTCTCCTGAAGTAGTGGCTGGAGTTCCAGTTTCGGGAACTCCTGGTACAGCAGTACCAGTGCCGGCTTCACCTGGTGTAGTGAAGGGAGGGAACGGTCCAGGGGTGGAGGGTGCATATCCAGTCGAAGTAGATCCCCCGCTTGGGGGATAACCTGAACTGGGATATCCTCCACCACCCTCGCCAGGGGTGGGAAAACCCGGTGTGGGCCGCTCCGATGGGTAGCCGTATGACGTGGAGAAGCCACCTGGAGTCGAGTATCCGCCTGTAACCGGCGGTTGTAATGTTCCAGGGCTACCTCCTGACGAGTATCCTCCCGCAGTGCTGCCAACACCGCCGGAAGATTGGTAGCTGTTGCCCGAAAATCCATCGCCGCCACTCGTGGACCCTGGCAGAGATGGTCTCGGACTGGTCGACGGGAAGGATGGCGCTTGCGGCGAAAGGTAAGTACTCGACGATTCCGGGGCGTTCAGCGGCGGGAAGGCCGACGAGCCCGCGTTAGAGTATGAGGGTTGACTCGGCCGAGGGTTGTAGGACGTGGAGCCGCCGAAACTTGGCGGCACATACGTTGACGAAGGTTGCTGGCTGCTGGGAAAGCTCGGTCTCGGGGTGGAGTACAAGGGCTGTATGGAACCCGGGTAACCGCTAGTGTTCGGCGGGGTGTAGAGCGACGACGGCCTCTGAACTGGAAAACTCGTCACCCCCGATGGCTGGAAGGGCCGGGGTTTCTCGGGCGGTCGTTGGGTGCTGAACGGCGGCAAGTACGCATTTGAGTCCGATTGCTGGCGAGCTGTAAGAAAACGTGGGCTCGTCGAGAGTGAGAATCCACTGATGCTTCTCATCGACATAATGACGATGTGAATGAAAAGTATTGCGATTGAAAAACTGTAACTTTCCAGAAAAAAATTTATACGACATATTTATACGATAATCTTTTATCAATTTTATATAACAGAAATAAAATATTAAGTAAAATGCAAAAATTCTAATTAAAAATGCAATTGCAATACTTTTAATATCGATGCTGTTGATAATATTATTGAAGTCTGTGAATATAGTTACCAATTTGTTAAATAAGTTTCATTAATTTCTATAAATATTTGTGCGCGTTCGTCTCTGTCTCTTTGAATACAAAAACCATTTTTAAGAAATATAAGTAAAGATAGTGAAATATATACATGCTCGTGAGTTAAGTCAGAGTGCATTGACTTGACATCAGTGCGTTGTAAGAGAAAATAATTCGTTGTCGGTCGGATTAAGCGTGTATGAAAGCCAATCTCAGCATCGAACATGAGGAAACTTCCGTGACGTCAAGGTGTCATAACAGAAATGATTGATTAGTAGCGCGGCGAGTTATGGATTAATAATTTTGCGCGTCTATAACATCTAAATCGGTGCGACGACTGCGTCGGCTGCGCATAGTCGCAGCTTTTTGCGCACGAAATCGCAATTTACGTCCGTGGGTAGCGTCCCTCTGACCATCAGCGGCACTGAACCGTCTATAAATCAGCGCGCAGCGTCAGATTTGCTAAATTCGATCGTCGTGGAGAAACAAAAAAAAAAAAAAAAAAAAAAAAAAAAAAAAAAAGAAGAAGGAAGAAATACTCGTTACTCGCGCGTATGGCGATGGGGACGGCGGCTTCGTATCGCGCCGTTTCCCGTCGACGGCTGAAAGTCGGAAACCTACTTTTACGTGCGCCCTGCTGGTAGATCCCCTGAATCCACTCTAGGATATTTTGCGCCATCACGTCTGCCGGCGATGATGGGGCAGCAGCCCGTTGGACTCTCGAGCGAGCTAATGAATTTCAAACCATTCGTTTGTGATCAGGTTCGTATTTTACCACCGCAGAACAACTGTACCACCTCTCTCCTCCGCCGAGCGGACTCGCAAGAGTCCCTTCGCATTTTTCTTACCGGGATCCGCGTCCGGGGTTCTCACGAAGAGCGCGTGACCGCCGAAATCCTGGCCCACCGCTGCACCGGAGAAAGCGACGACGAGGATCACCGCGATGAGTCTCATCCCCGTCCTGTAAATTTTTTTTTTTTTCAGATTTGATATAATTGAAATCTCTCTCCGCAATCACGATACGTCAGTACTCTCGATTTTCGAGCGAAATTTCGTCTATAAAAATAATCAATCCGATCGTGAGATCGCGTTCACGCCGCGAGGGTCAAGTGTCATTGACACGTGGTTGAAAATAGTACATCTAAAGCTATACCCAAGGATGATGAACGGTGAACCGGTCTCGTCGCTCGAAAGTAGAAAGTGATCATTATGAAATCTATGGCCGTGATCGCAGCTTTTGACAGTTGACGTCATCGTGCAGGCGGAATGACTTATTGTGAGAAGAGGAGCGAGAGCCGATGCGCGCCGTGTGATTTCTCCTCAAGGTCTCGGTTTCCGCGTTCTACGACTGTGTAGGTGACACGAAAAACAACGACGCGATTATGAAAATCTATGTATATGCATACACGGTTAGACACGCGTTAGACGCCTCTTCAAGGTCTCCGCGTGCGTGCCGGAATGCGCGAGGAACACTATGTAAACAGCGTATCCTCTCAGCTCGACTTGTTTTCATTTCGAAAGTAACATCGCCGAGGAACCTCTTCGCGGTTTTCTAATTGGCTTGTAATTGCCGGCGGATATCCAAGGTTCGAAATCGCGCAAACGGATGAGATTCATCTGGCAAAGATTAACGTCTGTCGAGGATTATTTCGGCAAGCGATGACTGTACGGATAATTGTCCTGTCGAGCAAGTTGCAATCGGTTGAGTGATCTCCAAGGTCCCGGCTAGCTGGCGAAATTAATCGTAGAAAGAAAAAAAAAGAAAAAAAAAAAAAGAAATCGCTCGCAATTATTTCGACAGAGCTTTAGCGGAAAATTTTGCGTGCGAGCAATGGCGTTCGTTGTTTTAATCTCGGATCGCGACCGTTAAATATCTTTCTTTTACTTAGGAGCCGGCGCCGTTTCCATTATTGTTTGCTTCTTCTCACGTGCGGCTACTTGTATTAGCGGCATGTTTCGTCAGGATGGATTACGCACAAGCATAATCGCACTGTCTCGTTTCACACGTCTCATAAATTCTAGACCATCTTGTTGAGATAATTTATGGACATGTTCGCGTGAGCACTTAATCTCTCATATTTTTGAACATACGAATGTTGTAGAGTCGCTGCTCTCTTCCGTGGATATAAAGCGGCATCCTTTCACGGACGACGACCTTCATTAATATTATAGCGATCGGGATTATCGTGAATCTGGTTTTAAATACGGATTTTTTCTGTTCGCGCGCTTAGTTACGTCCTTCTCTCGCGTAAAACAATGTTATTCTTATCGCAGATGAAAATGTGAGAAATGAGAAAACAGAATCAATAGAATTATCGATTAAAATACAATCGAAAGTTTAATATTTAATTTAATCAATAAATAAATTAATAACTCATAAATATTAATGATTCACACGCATGCGCAATATATAATAATAATAATTATGATTATATTGAAATTAAAATTATGATAATTGCGGCAGTTAAATTGCGCATAGCATCAATCATTCGCACACTTGATAGATAATTTTGGCTCGTTCGCAAGATTGCGAAACATTCGTCGATACACGTGCAAAGTGCGCGGCTTCTTTTAGGCCCAACAAACTTTTTCTTATGTCTGACAATGAGTGTCATCATCAACGAGTGCAAAATTTTACTGTCACTTTCGATTAATCCGATGTCGCGTACTCGTAGGAAGTGCAGGAGAGCGCTTATGCACGGATGCTTTCCATCGCCTTAGTTTTACGCCACGAATTCATCAGTGAAATTGAATCGTGACGCGCCGCCTGCGGTCGTCTCAGACTCGTACGATGCATTCGGATGTATCCGAGCGCCGACGCTGCATCGGATCGTTGCATCGGTGGAGCAAGAGTTCGAGAAGTCAACAGTAGAATCGTGCTCGAGCGAGGTGAAAGGTGAAAGTCGTACCGCGCCGGCTGCAGGAACGTATAGGTACCGGCAAACGTGAGCGTCTTGCTTTTACACGTGTTCAACGTCGGAGATGTATACCGTACGCATCGCGAGATCTATCTATCGTTCAATAAATCCTTCTACAGTCTATAGAATTTTTCTTTTTTTCCTTTACAGATTTATGAGTTTCACGGATTGATAACGTTGTAGATTTTTAATTTTCCGGAATATTATTTTCATATTTTATTCGTCACAGACAGCTGTTGAATTTCCGCTGAATTTTGATAGCATAAATTTCGGATTTCTTTGAATTTTTGATTCCGCGTATGCTCAGTGTGTTTCGTGAATCTAGAATTTTACAGATCCCTACCTTCATAAATTATGAGCTCTGCAAAAACTTCTAAGTCGAAGATTGTTATAGAAATCGACACGCGTATACGTGAATATTTTTCTCAAGTCTCACGATATATTAAATTGCGAAAATAAGTATGAGAGAAGAATTTTCGTTGCGATAGTAGTAGGGGATCGATTGCACAAATTGGACTCCAATTAAGTTAAATTAAATAAAAATTAAGAACACATATGTGTACATAAAATGCGATGGTAAGATAAAACCGGTCGCGGTTTGAGAAGTTAATTCAGTGAGAACAACGAAGAGAGATTATCGCGTAACACATCGCTGCGCACTGTAACAATTTTGATACTCTCGAACGTGACAAACTTTTCACGCGAGATGAGCGCGAACACGTTGGATCAATCAAACGTGCGCGAAAATCGTCATCTCGACGAAGTGACACCTCGTGTCACATTAAAAAAAATTATTCAACGCAATTGTTACAGGCATATAATTCATATTCCTTTCTGCGACGATATTCTCGATCCGGTCGTGGCTCTCCCTCCCCCTCCTCCTCCCCCCCTCGTCGCGTCAGATCGCAAATCAAATTAACGCGCCGGTACTAATTACGCGCTAATTAACGTCCGCCTCTTCCCGCCGTACTCCCCGGCGTTGCGTGGGGAGAGGCGGACTCTTTCGAAATCCTCACCGACTCCGGCGCGTCGTATATTAGGATATCATAATTCGAGTCTCAGAAGAAATAACGGCCGGGGGACCGCCGTCACCGGGCGTCCGCGACGTGCAATTATCGTGTGCGAAATTCGTGTAGCTTTTGCGCAGGCGGCCCGGCCGTAAAGTTGCTGTTTGCGGTCGCGCGATTAGGCAAGTGTAGCATGCACTTGAGACGCTCTGCGGTTTTCTTCTCGCCGCATCGCCGGCCGACGTCGTCGTCGATGTCGGCATTTTAATAACGAGGCGGGACGGCACTCGTTTATTATGGTGGGTTTCATAACGAGCGTCCCGCGCCGAGGAAACTGGGCTACTCGGGGTTATTACGATTTTAAGATTCGATGCGTGCATGTCTAACAGCATGCTCGGTCATCGACTGGGAATTATAACGGTGATCGAACGCGGGTCCCTCTAATAGGTGTGTCGAAATATCTTTAGAATAGATGGTACAGCGTTAAAACTGTGTGAGCGGAGACCTCGGAACGTCACTTGTGATAAGGAACGATTTTATTATTCATGATAATTCAAGCTGCTAGTCGCTGAATGCGACTCCGGAGGATGTAGAATTAAACTTCATTAAAACAAAGTGAAATTCTTCTCATGAAATATCAAACTCAATATATTTCTAATGACTGGCGCAGAGTTCTATACTTTGTAGAGATTATCACAATTATTTTCTAATTATTTGTAGCTATATAATTTTATTTTAAAACATTCTTCTCTCGAAGATATTTTTTTTTTTTTCAACGCGGGATATATATTTTAGAGATATTAAAATAATTTGAGATATATATTTTATTATATTATGAAAGAAAATACGGTATATACAAAGGAATCGTTTCCCTCAATGATGCTACATAAGGCAGAAGATAATGCGTAAAATGAAATTATGGCGATGCATCTTTGCTAGAAGCGCGCGCGAAGTACTTTAACGACGATAAACGCGAAATTGTTCGTAACGTGCGTTTAATTAAATTTGAAATCACGAAGCTGGGCAATCCGCTCGCGATGCGCCGGCCGTTAATGACGCTAATGACGAAACGATTTAAGTAGAGGCAGCGATTTGCGGCCTCGCGGATCTCGCGCAGTGAAAACTGTTACGTCCAATAGGTCTGGGTTACGAGGACATCGATTTCCTTATACATCGGCGTACACATACGCGAACGCTGATGTTCGCCCGTGCTGAAACCGGCCGTGTCGACGTGAAAAATCACCGTCGCCGTGATTTCTACCGTGCAATGTCAGCAATCGGTAGCGACACCAAATACGTAACCTCCGTATAATGCGCGACATTCGGGAAAATGGAATTTCATCCGAACTCCGTATTCGGCGAAAATTCACATTGCGAGAGTGGAATTTTCTGACCGTGTTAATTGACAGGTCGTACATCTTTGCTCCTGTGTCACATTTCGTCGGGCTGATTTTACGCGTTATTGACCCCCTTCGATTTCTCGCGTCGACGAGAAGAAATCCATTCGCGACGATACGTTACGGCGAGCGCTTTTTTTTTTTATCGACTTGGCAAAAATTTATACAGGAGAGAATTTGACCGGAGGTTTTATCCCGCGTCGAGACAATCATCTTTCAACAAGCGTCGTTTGCGAATTTTTATTCAGTTGCAAAAACGTGCCCCACGGCGGGAAAGCGTGAACTTTACTGTTAAATTCCTTGGATGGTGAGATACGCGCGTTTTCAAGCCCAAGTCATTGACATTTAATATTCTTTGCACATGTACAAGCGTGGTCCATTCTCTCTCCTTTTCTCTCCTGTCTCCCTCTATGTTGCCCATCTTTTCTCTTTTTTTTTTTTTTTGTCAAGCTCTTGACACACGTGTCCTTACTATCGTGTATAGTAGTTGTAGAAAACGCATCTTAAGTACCGCGACTAGCGAAAGGATGTCATTGTATAAAGCGACGCTGTAAAAGTTGCGAGATGATTTTGATGTGTGATTCACAATTAGTTTAAAATAAAAGAAAAATATTTATACATCTATGTTTGGAGCAGTTTGTTTTTTAAACATTTTCTTTTAAAAAAATTCAAACATTTTATTCGTAATATTTCAAAACAGAAACATTGATGACATATTTAGATGACACTTGAGTTATTACTGTATTAAAATCTCTGTGCTATGATAAAAAATATCTAGTCTAAAAATCTTTTTGAATGTCATCTCTTGAAACAGGCCATTGATTTGTCGATGCGATGAAAACGAAATTATTTTCTTCTCGGATAGATTTACTCATCTACCGTGAGATTGGTCAAATTATAATTGACATATATAATATTCCAATATTGAAGAATATTTTCAGTCGAGCACATTCGAAATTAATCAAGCACGATGTCAAGAATTTGACTAGAAAGTTTACATATTGCACAACAATTCTCTTGGCATGCTATTATATTCATATAATACACAATTTATATTACTTAACATGAATAAATTGTATACGAATTTTTTCTTTTTAAATGTTGTAATCTCAATCCGCCGGCAATTCTATAACTATGTACCAAGAAATCGCGGCATATTGAAAGATAATTAATAATTGCTTTATTACAAGTAATAACGACATAACTCACATGTACCGTGAAAGAAATTAAAACCTTTCAATATTTTCTCGTCGCCCTTGCATCACTGCGTTTATATTTTTATTAGGGTACGATAGAGCTGAAAGATGTCGTAAACTCATCTTCTTCCCTCGCGCACGTTTTGTAATTTGCGAAGATAAATGTCACGAGACAACGAATA